GACTGAATTTTATAATGTAATGTTGAACTTGCATTACCTTTTTGATCAGGACCGTGAATACCAAATGTTGTCAAAGATTTTGACAAATGTTTTAATGACTGTGTGAATAATATTTAACTGCCACGTTTTCCTTCATATATTTTGTATACAGCAGGTAAAATGAGAACTGAACACGTCATCAGTTTTCAAAGTAAATATATTTCTAAAAGTGCTGTTGACATGATATTTTCACCAGATGTTGGTAACAACCCATCCAGTCTGACACATGCAGAGAAATCAAACCATAGATGACCTGCTTTGTGTTATATGTGGCATATGTGGCTTTTCCTACTTTTTTTTTAATGTATCTATATACTCCTGCAAAGAATCAGTATATAGTTCAGTTAAAAATATAGGTAATTATTACTGAAGGTTTTTTTTCTTTACAGATAAGAGTTGGACATTTTTATTTTCTTATCCAGAGAAATTGTAATTTAAAAATAAAAACTATGTATGATTTTATTTGGCATGGGGCTACCTAAGAGTTTGTTATTAGAAACATTTTGGTTTTAGTTTTTTTTTGGTTTTGTTTTTCTTGCAAAGACAGATTTGGTTGTATAAATATAAACAGTGTTGGTGTGTTTGAAACAAACCAATAATTAGAAGAATCTGTTTGTCACGGATAAATATTAATAGAGCTGTTTTAGAGCAATACTTACAGCAGTCATTTGTATGATTTGAGCACCAGTTTCTAGAGTTAAACAAAACAGTCCGAGCCTCTATCAGCCACCATGATGGCTTGCTTGAGATTTTTTTTTATTTTTTTGCTTAGTTGGACATAACTGTACGGAATTAAAATTAATTGTGTTTCTTTTGTTTTGTTTTTCAGGCTACACCGTGCTCCAAAGAGACCAACAAGGAGATGATTAATGATGGTGCTTCATGGACTATCATTAGTACTGACAAAGCAGAGTACACCTTTTATGAGGGCATGGGCCCCGTGCCCACACCAGTAACACCTGTCCCTGTGGTTGAAAGCCTGCAGGTACACATACAGCCTTTTCCGGTGAAGATATGCTCTAGTTACCAGCAAACACGAGTGACACTGTTGATACCCAAGTATACGTCTCTTTTGTTTTTATTCAACTATTATGAATCTTCTGAGACTTGATTGATTTTATGTTTGTCTCTGTCCAGTTAAATGGTGGAGGAGATGTTGCTATGTTGGAGCTGACAGGACAGAACTTCACCCCTAACCTCAGAGTTTGGTTTGGAGATGTGGAGGCAGACACCATGTACAGGTAAATATGTCTGCGAGTGTTAACTTTGTGCCCGCGTGTTTTCATTTCATTTTTTTTAAGCCTTGTCCCATCCGCTTGCTTCCTTAGATGTGGGGAGAGCATCCTTTGCGTGGTGCCAGACATCTCTGCCTTTAGGGAGGGTTGGCGCTGGGTGAGACAGCCAGTTCAGGTCCCTGTCACGCTGGTTCGCAGTGATGGAATCATCTACGCCACTGCCTTGACCTTCACGTATACCCCCGAACCAGGGCCAAGACCTCACTGCAGTGCTGCTGGAGCTATTCTGCGGTCACACAGCACCTCTTCATCATCACCCGCATCTTCATCCTCACCTTCATCTTTGATGGGTGGGCTCGGGGATGGCCACGGAGCCTACAGCAGTAGTGACTCGGGCATGTCGTCTGGGACTTCAGCTATGTCGGTGCTGTCATAGTAAAACGTGTTTTGTGATTGTGCTCTCAGTGACTGAGTGAGAAAATGTGAGCATGTTCTCCAAAGAGGCTCATGGACCTGTGAAGAATTGCACAGAAGCTAAGAAGTTCTTTGTTAGAGGAACTGTGAAACTATGAGGAGGAAGAAAAAGACAACTTCAAAAGCAAGAGTTGTGATTTCTGACTGTACTGTATCACCCTCTTGTGGATTGTTGTGGACATATCATAAGCTCCACTCAGAGTAACGTGATATCCATGCTCTTCATCTAAAAGAAGGTGAACTATCTAACTCCCATAGCAACATCATTTGTAAAATAACCTTTTTGTTTTGTTTTTATATACTTGGCAGGTTTGGAAGCTACTTTAACTGCTTTCTTACTACCAGCATTATGTTTGCAGATGAACACAAACTTGTAATTGCATCGAGCAAGGGAAAATTTGTAAGAATAACATAGTTTTATGGACCAAGGAATATTATTATATTATTTTATTCATATTGTATTTTATACGTTTTTTCTGAGGTACATTTTTGTATGATACACTGCATAGTAAGATCAGTTTGTTACCAAGATAGTTTTTCATATTGTTGCCTCCCATTCCTGTTTTCTCTCAGTTGAGTCAAGATGAAAATTGCTTTTCATGTGTGTAATAGTCAGACAACAGCTTCTCACCTTTTTCTTTTTTTTTTTTTAAAGCTTACTTGCTGTCGTTAACAGTTCAGTGTGTTACAATGAAAAAGAGTCAGTCAGTCTTTGGAAGCACTTTAGAAAATGAAGATATCTCTATGTCTGCTTGCAGTTATTGGCTTGGCTGTTTTATGTTTTCCAGGCCACTGAACAGTTTTGGTTTCTCTTTTATATCAAAGATGAAATTTTAATGAATGTAGAGAGTGTGTGTGTGTGTGAGAGAGGGAGAGGCCAGCCTGTAATACACTGTCAGTGTTCTCTCTTTAATGATTTTGCTCTTTTTGTACTCTCTGTACTGGGTCTCAAATCTAAACAAGCACTTCCTCCTGTTACCATAGCAATGCATACAGCAGCAGTCATTTTTTCTCCCACATATAAGTGAAGCCTTTTATAAAAAGTGTCTTATCTCTTGCATATTTTCAGAGAAAGTCAAGAAGCAAAGGAGGAATGTCAAAAATGTCTTGCTTTCTTGAAGAGCTGATCTTTAGTTTGAGCTGAGATTTAAAGGGTTTTAAAGTGAGCTTATGTACTGGGGGAAAGAAATACTATCTCTTCCCAGTAAACCAATTTATCATTAGTGTCATACTGCTGCTGACCTTATGTTGAATTTAGTTTTTTCAAACAATGCCTGAACAAAAGTTCAGCAGAGCTAATAGTCATCTTTGGCCGCCCTTTGGGTCATTAAGTGATGAGGTACAGGATAAACGTTTGAACAATCATACCAAGGTGGTAACATCCTAGTCCTACAGGATCTGACTTGCTTAATTTTGTACAAGCTGACAAGATATTATTGCATTATGCTGTTATGCTGTATAAGTTGTAAATGCGTTTTCATGGCAATAACAACTAGTTTAGTATCAGTTATACCAAGAATAAGAGATAAGAAGAGTGAGACGATGAAGAGAAGGGTATGGGTAGGAGAATTCCCAGTGTGAATTATTTGTTTCAAGCCCTGCGTGAACAGTCTTGAGTCAAACCTTCCTGAGACTGTTCTATGTGGGCTTTGTTCTGTCTGTATATGCATGATTCTTTTTTTTACTTGGTGCTCTGTTTCAAAGACATGTTAGCTTAAATTGAATTATTACTTATTTCAAAATAGCTGTTGATGTGACAAAAGGTGCTTCTAGTAAAGGGCTAGACTGTAAAAACAAAGTGTAAATGTTCCTTCTGTGACCATCCTCTGAGCATACAACAACTGGACTCATCTGGTATGTAAAATAGGTGAATCATCTCTTAATTTCTTTTTCTTTTCTTTTCTTTTTTTTTTTTAACACCAATGATGAAATCAGAAGCTCCAACTTCAATTGCCCCAAAAAACTGATGTCTTTGATCCTTGTCTTGGTCTGCAGGAGCAGAGGTATTTAAAATATTTGGAAATATACCTCCCTGATGAAATATTTAATTGTGAATTACTGCATCACCAAGTCACAATATCCTGACTCAGTTTTCCTCCAGTGTCCATGTCTTGGTGAATTGATAATATCAGTGTCTGTGCATAATCTTGATGAATATGTATGCACTCTTTTCCTGTTTCTGTCTATCATGTAAACCAGACATGCAGTATACTCACTTCCTGCTGGGACCTGCTTAGACACTACTCACTGAAGCATGCTACCCAGGATAGAGGTCAAATCTGTCTGACTTATTTTTAAACTGGGAGCCATATTGCTGGAATGAAACCTGACACCTTGTTGCTGTTAATGTTTGTGTGTTTGGTGTGTATGCCTGTGTATCTGTGTGGTCTGCTTTAGTCCATCTCTCTTTATGCTTCTAGCAATACTTTTACTTTAACAAGAGTGTGCATCTGAGCATTCCTGTAAGCATGTAATAAATGGCATAGCTACATATAGACATCATTAATGAACAGCTGTGCAAACATTGGCAAAACCCTTTCACATAGCTTGAAGAATTCCAATCACAGATACGACTCCCTCACCCAGACAGTCAGGCGATGATATCAGGACAGCCAATCATTAGCTGATCTCAGGAAATACTTCCAATAGTGAGATCTATGGGATTTAATTGATCCTCATCCAAACATTAAGGGTTACACTCGACAGTGTACAGTGTATTATAGCGGTTGTCCCTACCTTAACGAAAAGGAAACGAACTCTGACCCCCGTTTGTATGGGTGGGAAATATGTTAGGAAAACTAATTAAGAGGTCCCCATGCTGCAAATGGAGTGAGGGGGTGGAGTTCTGAGGAGGAACATGACATCTCTGGGAAAGGACTGCAGGGAGAGAGAGGCCGGGGAACCTTTTGTACAACTAGTTGGATTATAAAAATCAGAAAAACAGATCAACCACCATTTAAACTGCTGTGCCTTTAAGTTGTAACTGGATTGTTTAAAAAAAAATTGTATCTCACCCAGGACCATTTATTCTGATGATTATATCACACTGAATATGGATTTGTTATATCAGAATCAGATGTTTTGATGTTGTTTTTGTCTTTTTCCTGGAATATCATGCGCAAGTTTGAAAAACTTTGATTAATCCTTTTTGTGTTTGAATTACGCTTTTATTAAAACTTTTTCATATATCATTTTTACCCACCTAAACTTTACGTTTCAATCTGCACACCAGTGCCTCTGCCAGATTTCTCCAGTGAACATCAGCAGCCTATCACATCTCCCTTCTGGATGTACCCATAATAGCAACGCAGATCGCTTAACACTTTTTCGCAGACTGTCGCTGGTGCCTCCGAAACGGGGGTTTGGTTATGTATACGTTCTTTATTCGTTTATTTTGAGAACTTTCTCAGCTTTGGACGACAACATTGCCATCCGTGTGAAATGTTCCCTCCGTCCCCGCTACTGCTCGTTTTCCCCGCTGCGCTCTTCTGGGCCGCACAAGTTGCCGGGGACCTCGAGGGTGTTACCATCCCCGGTGAGAGCGCAAGTTTCGTATGTACTGAACGATGCATGGCGCCAACAAAAGAGAAAACACGAAAGAAAGTGAAGCATGACTAAGTATTTAAACTGGATCTTAAATCTGCACTATCACTGTTGATGTTGCGCCGATTATAGCGGTGATAGTCGGATGTTTGACACTTAAACTTAAGGAAAGACTCATTTTTTAAAATTTAACCTGAAAATGTAACCTTTATCATTTATTTGTTTGTTTATTTTAAAAGAAAACCATCAGGTTATCAGAGCATCTGTTAGTAGAATTCCGTTTTGGGAAGCAGCTTGTGCAACCTGCACAAGCTGCCAAAAATATATTTAGGAAACAGGAACTTTTTGTTTGTTGTTTTTGTTTATCTGTTAAAAGCAAACAAACACGTGCCCATTAATCGGGCACAAACTTGTTACAGGGTTAATAATAGCGTTGTGACAATTTAATCTAAATATACATGTGCCACAATGTGCTCCACTCTCACAGGATTCCAGCAGCTTCCGCTCACCTGTGGAAAGTTTTTATGTGGAGGTCCTACAGGGACATCGTTAAACCCACACAATCCCCTGCGCACAAACTCACAGTTGTGTTTCCCATCGCTACAGAGGACATTTACGTCGTCCTACAGTTATTTCCTGGAGTCCTTTTCTACTCGTTGCTGCCCCAACCTTAACCCTGGCAGTAATTAATTAATTTTAATTGTTGTCCCTAAATATAAGTGATTTCTAACAGCACCACACATCAATTCTCACACAAAGTGAGCAGTAAAGGCACAAACACTGTTTTAGGTCCCTTTGTTTACACCACCTTGTGAGGCAGAAGAAGCTCCATCATCGAAGCAGCTTCTCGTTATTCTGGAATTCAGGTTTCATCAGCAAACAGGGATAAATATCTTTGCTTTAAAAAAAATGTTGTTACTGTAGATTCTCCTGCCTGTGGTGATGATAAGAGAAAAAAAAAACATATAGCCTGTAACTGTCATAGATTTCTGTTATGACAGCAGCAAGTGAAACATCGGGTTACCAAATGTTCTGCTATAACATTTTAAATGAGTTTTCCCTCCTACTTATCACGAAAAGAGCGCATCACTTGTGTTGAGTAAGAGATGCCTACATCATTCAAACAGTTAATAATCTGAAATCATTTTACTCCTACTTTCTGCTGTTCTTCCTTACTTGAGAAACCTTCTGAAAACACACCCTGTGTTTATGTACCTGTGTATGTTTTAAGAATCTTGCACATGAAGAAAACATATGGCTCATGTGGTTGTAACTGTCTAAAAATGAAAAAATTCCCAGAGGATTTGCTTCATAGGAAAAAACAAAACAAGAACCTTCAGAGATAAATGCCGATATTTTTGTAAGAAGATTAAGGGCAGGATGCAGCAAAATGGGAATCCTCTGTTTGTTTGTTTTTTTCCATAGAAGTCTCTCTGCCTCTTGCTTTCTCCCACCTCTCTCTTTTTACTCATGGATCATTTCTTCATTACGTTTTTGGCACAGAGTGGTTAGCATAACTGGAGGTGGCTCAAGGTGGGCTCAGCTAGCAGACCTTTGACTCTCAGCCTCTTGCCCCTTGAAACACTGAGACTTGAGAGTCACTGAGGCGAAAATGGGCTGTGACTCAGCAGACTGACAGATGACGGAAAGCTATGCGTCATCTTCTAATGCATCAGTGTACTTGTACTCAAGCAGGAACTCACTGTACGATTTAAACCAAATTACAACGGTCGATTTGATTATAATGACTCCACTGAGTCATCATTATGATTCAATGAAATGTATTTCCTGCACATTTTCTCATAGTGTGTTGCTTCATGGAGTGAAGGCTTGATCCTAAAACCTTATTTGTTTGCTAAAATTTGTTAAAGCTGTTTTAAGCCCATTTAACTCTAATAAATTCATTCAGAAAACTGGAACTTTAGACTTTGGGTAGTTTCCTAATGTCATAAAAAAGTACTAAAAGTACCAAAAAATAATTTGAGTACAGTATTTATGAGATTATTTATATTAGAAACACCACATAACGATTAAATTCAATGATTCTTGACATTGAATGCAGCCAGTGACAAAACCACCTCCGCAGTCTGTTTAACTAATAAGTAGATTTTAAAGGGAAACTGTTAACTCTCAGCTAATGTATGGGCACTTGGTTTAATTTCCATTTTGTCTTCCATTTTATTCTAATTTATCTGGGTTGAAATGGGTGTTGCTTTTACTTTGGTTTTATTTTAATAGGTTGATAGGATTGTATTTTAAGTATATTGATAGGAAAAAAGGGATACATACACAAAACAAAGCAAACATTAAGAGTGAAAAGGATGCAAGTAATGTACCTCTCCAGAATGAGACAGAGGACACTGAGATTTATTGTACTTTACTTCAGGACTCTTAGCCATTTTTAAACAGAACAGTGTAATTCCCAGCGGATGATCATGCAATTTAGAAAGCTATTACATGGGATTTTTTTTTTTTGAGATATAGTGATAACTACCAAATGCACAAAAGAGACAGTAAGATATCCCAGGCTCTCCATGTTGATCTTGTGGACATTATAGATGATGCTATGTGAGCCAAAATAATGAAAAGCTCTTATAGATCAGCTTAAATAACGATGTAAAGTTGGCAAATTAAAGTTATTTTGGAATAAACTCAGCAAAATAATGAGATGTATTATTATTGCCTTTCCCACCCATGCAGACCCCTGCGCCGTAGTGTCTCCACCATGCATGAGCGAGGCTGATCGCTTCAGCTTGGAGGCCCTTCGGAGCATCCATCAGATGATGGACGATGACCAAGATGGGGGGATTGAGGTGGAAGAGAGTGTGGAGGTAGACACCTTGCTCTTCATGAAATATGTAACCCATTTTCTTATTTTATTTATTTATTGAATTATTTTACTTAATCCATGTGCTTGTAAGTTTTTGCATGATTGATGCACACAGTGTTTAGCAGTGCAACAACAGGTGTCATCACTGCTGCTAGAGTCAAATGCTCCTTCAAGGATAGCAGTATAACTTTGCCTTTGGCTCAGTGACAAAAATTGGTTTGCACAAATAGAAAACCGCTACACTGGTGACCTTTGTAGTCATTCGTAACAGTAAGCAGTGTGTCATGACAATTTATTTCCCCCTCAGATTTCTTTGAATAGTAAACTACCTCAACGTTAATATGCTGCTATACTGTTTGTATGTGCGTCAGGTAATCAACCTAGACTTCTCTAATGCCTTTGCCTTCCAGAATGCAGCTCAGGGATACAGTATCCAGGGGCTCAGGTTGCAGTTACCATAGAGATGTCAGAGGAGGGGTCTGGGCTCATCAAAGTCCCAAAATTCCTCTAGCCATCATATGAAGCCTTCGTCTAGAGCCAAGCACACATTCCAAGACAGCACCAACACACACACGCAATCCCTGAAGTTTGCAACACACACTTATGGTTCTGCAACCATTCTAAATAAATGCAAACTAAAAACAACCGCTCCTTATTCCTAGATTGAAATCTAAGCACATGACTCACACCAGCACTCACTCTATTTATCCTGGACATAAAGTTCAAACAATATGATGTCCTTGTGACACTTATCTTCGCATTTTAGTGTTGTACCTCATAATAAAATTTTAAAAAGTCCTATTTTCACTCTGTTGTACTGTTTTTCTCCAATGTCGCAGTTCATTATTGAAGACATGAAGCAGCAACAGACTAACAAACACAGCAACCTGCACAGAGAAGACCAGCACATCACAGTTGAGGAGCTCTGGAGAAGCTGGAAGTCATCCGAAGGTATCCGGGTGTAACAGAGTGTGTGTGTGTGTGTGTTTGTGTCCAGTATCATGTTTTATCTGAAACTTTATCTTGTTTTGTTTTAGTACATAATTGGACTCAGGATGACGTGCTCCGCTGGCTGAAGGATTTTGTTGAATTGCCACAGTATGAGAGAAATTTTAAAGAGTTTAAGGTCAATGGAAACACACTCCCCAGGTGAGAATAACTGAAGAGGGTGTACAGGCAATTCGCCACATAAACAAGTTGGTCTTCTAGAAACTATATTCTCAGATTAAGTTTTGAAGGAACCACATTCTCTCTCGTTTGTTTGATTCACAGTGATATCTGTAGTCAACATGTATCGCCATTGTTCTTCTTCTTTTGCTACTGTTAACTCTCTTCTGGCAACCATACATATATTATACAAGGCAGGGCTCGTCACCCTGGAAACCCTAAAAACACACATGTATGCATATTTTGGTAAGCCCAAATAAGCCATTAAAATAAAAAACATAAAATCCATTTGTAGGATTGCAGCTAATGAGCCTTCATTCCTGAGTGGCCAGCTAAGAGTTCAGGACCAGAGAGACAAACAGAAGCTCACCATCAAAGCTCTGGATGTTGTTCTGTTCGGACCACCTACACGTAAGAAGAAATCCTCACTTTATTCCCTCAGACAGTATCTTTGATGTCTTTGAAGCAGGAAAGATACATTCATGTCCTGTTGCCATTCTTTACATTGCATAACTACTTTTGTATTACTTTTCCTCTTAACCTTTAATCTAAAATCAGCATTAAATGATGGATCAGGCAGCAAAGTTGCTAAATCGGTTTTCGTTTCTACTTACTTAATGTTCATATTGTTATTTCAAAACACAGCTGCACGTCTCTTAGCTGGTACTAGAAATTATGCCCACATCACATCAGTTTTAGCCAACCTACATTGGCTCCCTGTTGAATATCGCATCAATTTCAAAATTCTCTTGCTTACCTTTTAATTTACCTTAAATTTTAAACAATTTGGCTTCCAGCTATCTATGCGAACTCCTCCATTTGTCTATCCCTAATAAGGCACTTAGATCTTCCAATCAAATGGTCCTGATGCAACTGAGGTCTCGTCTGAAGTCCAGAGGTGATCAGGCCTTTGCTGTCATAGCTTCCAGACTCTGGAATAACCTCCCTCCTTATATTCGTTCCTCAGAGTCCAGTCTTTTAAATTGCGTCTTAAAACTTATTATTTTAGTCTGGCTTTTGATTCAAATTAGTACGCTATTTTGTGGCTAGTTATGTGTTTTTTTTTACCCATAGTGTTCATATTGTATCCTGCCCTCCTTTTAACTGTTTCTTTTATTCTGTCTTATGCTATTGCTCTGACTGAGTGTGAAGCACTTTGCTCAACTTTGTTGTATTATTATGTGCTATAGAAACACATTTTGATGTGATTATTATTTAAAGTGATCTGATGTCCATTCAATCATAGGGCCCCCTCATAACTACATGAAAGACCTGCTGCTCATTGTGTCGGTTGTGATGGGAGTCGGCGGCTGCTGGTTTGCCCAGGCTCAGAACAAAGCCAGCAAAGTCCACATATCCAAAATGATGAAAGATTTAGAAAGTCTCCAGAGGGCTGAACAGAGCCTCATAGAACTACAAGAACAGTAAGAACTGTGATTTTTTTCTTCTTCTCTCTGTCAGTCTCTTAGCTACTGTAAGTTACCGGATTGCCTTTGCTTTGTGTGATTGAACTAAACACGCTTTGATTTACTCAGACTGGAGCGAGCCCAGGAAGAAAAGCGTAATGTGGCAGAAGAAAAACAGAGCCTAGAGGAGAAGATGAGAGATGAGATCATGGGGGCACAGGAAGAGGCTCACCGTCTGCATGAGCTGAGGCAGGGAGCTGTTAGTGAGCTGAGCCGCCTCAGATATGCAGAGGAGGAGCTGGAACAGGTAGAAATGCTGCAGCGAGAGCAAGCAGCTTCACAAATGCAAGACACTCATCATCCTAGTTTGGCAGGCCTGAAGATTTTACCCTAAATTATTTTCTGCATACTGATGATTTTTAACATTTGCCACCTCTTCAGGTCCGTGGAGCGCTGAAGCAGGCCGAGAAGGACATGCAAGCCAGCTGGACTGTCACAGAGGTGCTTCAGCAGTGGCTGCAGCTGACACATGAGGTAGAGGTGCAGTACTACAATGTTAAAAAGCAGAGTGCAGAACTACAGCTTGCCACTGCCAAGGAGGAGGTAATGCATAGCAACATAAGAGTAATAATGTTTATAGTGACTATCCTTCATATGTAAGTGCCCAGACTCATATGTATGCTTTTTTCTAGGCAGAGAAGATTAAGAAGAAGAGAAGCTCTGTGCTGGGGACACTCCACGTGGCCCACAGCTCCTCTCTAGACCAAGTAGACCACAAGATTTTGGAGGCCAAGTGAGTCACAAAGTTACCTCTGTGCAGGTATTTGTGTCTGTCAATATAAAGATTCAACAAATTACATCACAAAGCTTTTTGGATCTCTTAAAGGAATGCCTTGTCTGAAGTAACAGCCTGCCTGCGGGAGCGTCTTCATCGCTGGCAACATATTGAGCTCCTCTGTGGCTTTCCCATCATCAGGAATCCGGGTTTAGCAAAACTCACTGCTCAACTCTACTCCGACTCAATTGCCCTGGGGTTGCCTAGAGTGTGCCAGTCATCTTGTTCGTGCCACAGCTCCATTCATGGCTCCATAGAGGATCTTTTAGATGAGCCTACCTCTCCTATTTTACCTCAGATACCAGGTAAGAAACAGGAAGGAGGAGCTTTTAAGGCTTTAGTTGAGTCCTTGTTATTGTCAGTGTCACACAGCGTTAGATTTGATTGGAATCTGGAACATGATATGTGATTTGCACACTTCCAATCAATGCATTCAGAAGTATGCAAATAGGTGTTGAATTTAATATTTCGGATTAAGTTATATGGTTTGTATTGCCTGCAAATATGAGTTTAATGACAACCTGATATATGACAAAACTATCCTCTGTCTCAAAAAATATTCCAATATTAAATGGATCCCAGTTACAGCACATTTAAAACTTTTTAGAATGAAAGATAAATAACTCTAGTAAATCAATTTGTGATCAGAATCAAAGTACAATAGTGTATGCAGTGTTCAACCTCAAAACTGAAATATTTCCAAAGTGAAGGATTTGTTAAGTAGCTGATAAGTTTGTGTTTTGCTAAGAATACACAAACTCATTGACTGAAAAAGAAAAACAAGCGCTCATAACAGGTGCTCAGATTCCTTCCTTAATAACGCTTCACAAATAACAGAAATACTAAAGAGGTAAAATAAATTGTTAACTATATTGTTAATGGGTGTTATTAGTATACGTACACATATATGTACATACCATCCTTGTTCCTACATCTCCAAACTTCTCTAACCGTACGTTTACTGCAGCTTCACAGACAAAGTTTAATTAGTAGTGTTCTGGAATGAAAATTAGGGTACATATTAATTTCTGCTCTTACAGGATCTGCTCTGCATAGATTCTTCATTTTTAATAATTGTTTCTCACCAGTTGCAGTTGCACCACTTAAACGGTCTCCTCGAGCACGGGTATCCATACGTCGGTCACGCCGCTCCGGAATCATTCCTCAACCATCAGCCGCCATGATCTCCCCAGACCCTGACCTTCTTATCCCCATCCGAACTCCCTACTCTCCCTATGACGAGGAAGAGGAACATTTCCGAAAAACACTAAAAAAACAGTATGTCTGCCTGTTCCCAACTTTCTTACCCTAACTTTATACCAGCCTTAGCTGTCCTTTGATTTTTTTTCCTTTCCTGTTTTCTTTGCTTATGCTTCTTTTCCTTTCTCTCACTAATAGAGATTCCCAAGAAAGGTTCTCAGATTCAGAGTATATGACTTCTCCTCCTCTCAGCAAACTGTTCCCTAGTTCTGCTGTTGACATCTCCTCTCGAAAGCTCTATCACGATGACACTGAGCTGCTTGCTGAGAGCCCTGTTACAAAAACTTTAACTAAAGAAATAGAGGCTCTTGTTGAATTGCCAGCTCACAAAATGTCAGTGGAAGACCTTGAAACTTCTGTTGATATTGCCTGTAGCAAGATGGTTAGAGACAAAGCCTTGGATACTTCGTTGGAAACATCTTCTTTAAAAATGTCTGCAGAAGAGTCATGTATAGATTCAACATCAAGGAAGATGTCACGCAACAGGACTGGACTTTCCACTGATGTTGCGCTTAAAAAGGGAATTTCAAATGAGACAGATGCAGAGTTTTCACCCAGGAGAGTAGAGAAGGACACAGTGGGGGATTTGACAGAAGTTCCCTCAAAGAATACATTCAGAGAAAGAAGTGATTATGGAATAGATGTGAGGAAGATGATATGGGATGAAGTAGAAGCATCAGTGGATCTAGCAAAAAGGAAGATATCAAAAGATATGATGGGCGCTTCAACTGACACTTCCTCAGGAAAGATGACAAGGGATGATCCTGAGCATCTATTTGACTCCAGAAGGATTACTAGAGATTCAATGGGAGTTTCCCAAGACACAGGTTCAAGGAAACATGCGTTCCATAAAGGGGAAAATCAATTTGATTCCTCTGTGAGGGGATCAGCAAAAGACAAGATAGTTGAGACAACCAGAATACCAACAAGAAAATTATCTAGAGATGAGCTGGAGTATTATACAGATGTTGCTTCAATGAAGATACTGCCCAGAGAGAGACTCGAAGCACTTGTGGACACCTCATCCTCTACAGAGATGCAAGAGTTTTGTTTAGAGCCATCAACAAGTAAAGGTTTACTGAGAAATGAACTTGAAATGTCTGCTGGTTCTCTCAGAAGGAGAATGCCAAGAATGCCGAGAGAGGATGCTGAAAGCACCATAGACACTCCTACTGGAAAAATCTCTTGGGATAGAGTTGATATCCCAAGGGAAATGCCTAAACAATTCATCTTGAGGGAAGAGTTATCAGAATCAAGTTCATTGGCAGCTCACAATGTGCAGCCTGATCTCATGTTAACTTCCCAGGTGCCATGGAAGTCTTCATCAGACTTTTTTACTGTTGGGCCACTGAGCCAGCTTGTTTATGATGGAATCCTTGAAAAATCATGCAGCTCCATGTCTTCAGCAACAAACCTCTCTGCTGGCAGGCTGCGAGCAGAGATGGAGCCATCTCTGCCAAAACCAAGGGTTGTCCTCCCTGCTCCCTCATTGCCTTCGGAGGCCACAGATGACAGGAACAAGGAAAAGGAAAAGAGCAAGAAACCTTTAAAGCTCAAAAATCTCTTTAAAAAGAAAAATGAGTCAAGTCCAGAGAAGCTTTAAAGTGCTCTTTGGAAACTCTGGCAATCAGCTGATTTTTTTCTTTCTTTCTTTTGAACAATTTATAGAAACTGAGTTTCGAATTGTCTTTGATGACATTCAGTAGTCAAGGTTTTACAAATCTTTTTGCTCAAGGGGTTCAGCTATAGTGTTGCATTAGTTGTTAAGGAACTGGAGTCATTATATTATTATACACGCTATCCCAATTTTAGGGGTAATCAAAAGTAGTTAAGGTTAAAGTTAAGATTAAGATAAGGGCTGTTTTTAATCCCTGGATGAAAGTCCTTTTTAGTTAATGACTTGCAATGAAATGTAAAACACATGGATTTCACCACATTTTACATTTAATCTTTTGAGATGCTCTGCCAAGCATTTACTGCAACCACCTTAGGTTTCTGTTTGTTTGTGGGTCTTTCTATATATATATATATACATATGTACCAAAACTGTTTAAGCTCTTTTATATGTTTTCTGAAGCTGTATATCGGACATGTATCCAGTTACTTTTGACCATCTTGTTTATAGAATAGCTGTTATTCCTTAAAAGAAGACTCAAAGCCAACCCCATCTTCTTTTATCTAAACTCCTACAGAGTCAAAATGACAAAAAACAAACTAACTAGTAATTGGTTTTACTTTCTAAACTAAGTCTTATAGACACATGGTTGATATAGTAGTTTAGATTTTTTTTTATAGTTATCTGTGGTTGAAGGATTAAATGTTTTAACACATGCTGCTTTCCAGTATGACAGTGGTAATTCTTAAATTCATTTTAAACGTTAGAAACTCAATCAAAACTGTTTAATACAGTGCTAAAGTTAACACTTTCTTGTGCAAAAGAAACTGAGTTCAACTTTGTGATGTCCGAATTAAATTTACCTTCCTAAACTTATCCAAATTTACTAGTTAGAAATTTTTGAGAAATTTTTAGTACAGCTGCATAATGCACATATCAAAATTAAAGGACAATTTAAAGGAACTGGAATTGAATTTTGTGTAGGGTTTAGGGGGTTAGGGTCAAACTCCATGCTTTTAAATTATCATTAAAATAGAGACAGTTTTTATTTACCCATTTATTTTTCTTTTTAAATTTTAATTACCACAGTCCTTAAACACGTTTGACAGCTGACTAGCTCTGGACTAAAAATATGCAGCACAATAAAGAATCATTTATTATACAACAAATATTTGTAATAGTTTCATACTATACTTTTTTTGTAGATGGTTCAGTATTATTTTCTTTAGCCCCTTTGCAATTAAATGGCATTTACAGTCGCCATCAGCACTTTTGATGTGTGGTTAAACAACGGCCTTCAGATAGATTTAAACAAAGTAGACAAAATGATTCCCTGATGCACTGTCGCAAATGAAATTGCTGACTGTTTGCACTGCTAATATGGAAGATTTTTGACTACTTCTGTGTTAGGCAGAAAAAATTAAGTAGATAAGTGAGTAGCAAGATTTGAAATGGATCAGGATTCACAAAGTAGACAATCATAGTTTTTATTCTTTAAGAATTGTCCTTATGTTTTTTGTTTGTTTGTTTTGCTTTGATAGCTTACAAGCATAGTTTATTAGTTTATTTTTTGTAAAACAACAAATGTAAAAAAAATATTATAGCTGTCTTAGTTTCTGAAATTAATGTATCACAGAATCACATATTTAATTTCTAAATTGTTTATGTTATTGAATGATTAAAGATCATTAATTGTTTTCAGGCATTAAATCATTTTCTTGTTTTAACTTAGTTTTTTTATTTAAGCGCTTCAGATATGAAGATTTTTCTTCAATAATTAAGTATTTTTTATACCAGTTGTAATTAGAGGTGCAGTGCTGCTGAGTGCAAAGGAACAACACTGCACCGCTATTTTTCCAAATGAGGAAATAAAATATTCACAGTTGGATTAATTGGTTGAAATTCGGTCTAATTCTTGCAAGAAAGCCATTAATAACAAAATGAGTGGTCACAGCTGTCATCATGATATTTAGAGCCAGATTTGGCAATGGTGTGCAACAGTGCAAAACCCTCTTTTCGCATCAGGAAAGCTACCTGATGATGCATTCACAAAAATGCAAACAGTACACTAACTAACATATGCCACGAGCAGTCCAAAGTACTTGCTCAAAGTGAGCAGACCTGATGAAGGGGGTCAGTGATGTCATAAGAAAAATAATAATCTATAAGTTGAGGTTTTACACATGTGTTTCTCTCTGAAAACTGTGGAAATGAAAATAAATAACAGAAGGCTGAATGAGAAACAATGTGTTTATGATATAAGAGATAACTCTTCTGAAATTTCTAGGGACTGTGTTAGGTCCTGATGACTAAGATTCAGATAGAATGTATTGAGAGGGGTGCATTATTATTATCATGCAGGAACAGCTGACCTGTTCATGTATAGAAGAACAACAAAAATGTATTTACCACCAGAACCCGAGGGACAAATAACTCAGATTGATGCTACAACAAAGAGAACCGCACTTTTGCTTGTAAGTTGTTTCAGTGTGAAGTACCATGAGTGTAAAATGTTTTCCCCTGTCTTTGCAAAGAAAAACTGATTAACTGTGTCATGAATAAATGGGCTGTTATTTACTGATTTACATGAAATTGATGATAACTCAGGTTACAAATTTGGTAAAATTTAAAAATGCTGTCCATTGTGTTAAAATAAAATCCTGAAAATAACTACAGCATCTTAAATGTGTCATTTGTGAAAAAAATACTTCAAAATTGCAGAATATTGGTAATCCCCACTTGCATAATAAGCAGACCTACCTTTAAAGTGAACTGCACTTCCTTGATGTCAAGAAGAAAATCACAGATATGAACTTTTTGGAAGCAGACAATGACCTCCTAATTTTTATTTTTAGAGTTTATTTTTTTGAAAACTAAGTGTTTCGGGATAGCCAACAAGACTTCTGGCTCCTGAATATTTTATTCAATTAAAATTCAACAGAATAATGTAAAGATCCTCAAGTTCCGTTTTGTGGTATCAAAGTATATCATGGTCAGGACACATCATGATTATAAAATGTTTACTGAAACCTCTTAAAACCATTATTAAAAAGCTGTAATCTCTGGTTCCATGGAGAGCACTACATAAAAGCAGTCAATTCTGTAACTGAAGCAACTGCAATGGCTCAAAAACACTACACTAAAATCACAGTCAGTGTAAAGATTGTCACTGCAGCAGCCATACTCCTCTTGCATTTGAGAGGAACCTACATACACAGTTACACGGAAACTCATTAAAAATCATAAAAAGATAAAACTGTACAGTCTGGATTTCCCTACAGTGCATTACAGGTTCATTAAAATGAAGAATATATATCATGATGCAAACTTCCAGCAATCACTTGAGGACAAGAAAACAATATAATTTAGCTTTGACTGTTGAGAGAAGTGTTTGTTAAGACGTTTTTAGTTCATTACCTGTCATCTCCAATAGATGTCAGGATTGTTTAGGTCAGCATGTGATGCTTCTGAATGATGTTGAGGGATCAGAAACCCTCCCTCTCCCACTCCCCTCTTCCTTTTACTCAGTAAAACCTTCCAAACTTACTGCTCTGAATACTGTCTAATTCTAGCTTGTTTAATTAGATTAAGATTAATTTGACATGCTGCATTGTTCTTTCTGTCCACAAACTCTTACTCAAAGAGTAAACAGGTCAGATACTAAACTCACAAAAACAAAGTCATAAAAAACAGCAACTAAAAGAAGATACAAATGAAATATTAAACAGTCAGGCAGCCAGAGTTGATTATAGTAGCAAACTGTATGGCAGTTAGTTTTTACCTTTGTTAGGTGTAAGAGAGTGCATCTGTTAATATTTAATGACTGTTTTATTTTTTGTCATACTTTAAGCAATTATACCAAACAGCAAGATGAGATCAGTGTCAAAGGAGAATATAAACCACACATGCATTATTTAGTTTGTAATTGACTATCATATATTGCATTAAAATAGCACAGACTTTCCTGAAGCTATCATGCTAATTTTCCATGACTTTTAGTGGTAGTGTTATATTCTGCAGGGTCAGGACCTACCTGCTCGCTCACCATAAAATATACACGCTACTCACAGAAAAGGCTTAAGCTTTCCAGGTGGTGCAAAGCAGGAACCTTGTGCTGTGATATGATTATCATATTACCTGTCCACCTGTAAAACTTTGTTGTTGTTTTTTAAAATATTGTTTTCAGAAATCTTTGTAAAGTATATTGCTTATTCAACATGCAAAATTTATATATACACCACGTTCCAAATTATTATACAAATTGTGTTGAAGTGTCATAAAGATTAAATAAGTTGTTTTTCAATTAAGCCCATGGATGGAATAGTGTCTCAGGACTCTTTGTATCACTGAAATCAATCTCGGACACCTATGATCATTAGTTTGCCAGGTGAGCCCAATTAAAGGAAAACCTACTAAAGAAGGATGTTCCACATTATTAAGCAGACCACCATTTTAAAGCAATATAGGAAAGAAACATGATCTCTCTGCTGCTGAAAAGCATGAAATAGTTGAATGCCTTGGACATGTAATGAAAACCTTAGATATTTCACGAAAATTTAAGCGTGATCACCATAATGTTAAGAGATTTGTGGCTGAGTCAGAGCACACAGGCACAATGATGAAGGTTTCTGCCAGACAAATACATCAGATTAAGAGAGCAGCTGCTAAAAGGCCATTACAAAGCAGCAAACACATATTTGAAGCTGCTGGTGCCTCTGGAGCCCTGCATACATCAAGGTGTACGATCCTCCAGAGACTTGCAGTTGTGCATAAACCTTCTATTCGGCCACCCCTAACCAATGCTCAAAAGCAGAAATGGCTGCAGTGGGCCCAGAACTCCATGAAGACTAATTTTCAAACAGTCTTGTTCACTGATGAGTGCAGTGCACACCTGGATGGTACAGATGGATGCAGTGGTGGATGGTTGGTGGATGGCCACCATGTCCCAACAAGGGTATAATGTCAGCAAGGAGGTGGTGGAGGCATGTTTTGAACTGGAATCACAGGGAGAGAGCTGGTCGGCCCCTTTAGGGTCCCTGAAGGTGTGAAAATGACCTCTGCAAAGTATGTGGAGTTTCTGACTGACCATTTTCTTCCATGGTAGAAACAGAAGAACTGTGCCTTCTGCAACACAACCATTTCATGCAAGACAATGCACCATCTCATGCTACAAAGAATACCTCTGCATCATTGGCTGCTATCGGCGTAAAAGGAGAGGAACTCATGGTGTGGTCCCCATTCTTCCCTGACTTCAATCCTATTGGGAACCTTTGGAGCATCCTCAAGCAAAGAAATATGAGGGTGGGAGGCAGTTCACATCCGAACAGCAGCTCTGGGAGGCTATTCTGACATCCTGCAAAGACATTCAAGTAGACATTTTCCCAAAACGTACAAGTTCCATGGATGCAAGAATTGTAAAACTGCTATCAAATAAGGGGTCCTATGTTAATATGTAACTTGACCTGTTAAGATGTTTTTGATTGAAATAGCTTTTGATGTCAGTGTAATTGATCTACTAATGCTGCAAATTCAACAAATGACCATTTTCAATTGTCTACAACCTATTAAATCTTTTGAAACTCTGTGTGCGTAATTATTTGGAACAGTGCATTTTAAGTTTTTTATTTTTGAAAAACATACTGTTTTCATTGGGAGTTTTGTTCAGTAACATTTGAAATATACTCTATTGGTCGATGACTCGAAAATTATGCCGACTGTCATTTGAATTGACTATTTAGGAAAAACAGAGAAAAATATAATTTGCATAATAATTTGGAACGCGGTGTATATATTTTTTTAATCAAGAAGTAGCCAAGAACATATATGACTGCAGGAATGATGACAAAAACACAGTGACAGAGTTACCAAAAATGAGAGATTGAAAAAAAACAATGTGTACTTTTGATTGTAAACCTTATAAATATAGCTTAAAGACAAAGCTAGTTATTTATTTCTTCTTTGTCATGGTGTGTTTGTGCGTCCTGAGACAGGAAAACAACTCGTGTTAAACACAGATCTTCATCCTGAAAGACAATATAACATTTGTACACACCCTCCTGGGAAGAGCTGAGGAGAGCCCCAGACGAGGGGTCACCCAGCAGCCACGGAGCAGAGGCCAGAGGGGGTTGCAGTGACGTGCCCGCGGGCTCTGCCAGCAGCCAGCTGTGCCAGAGAGGACTGAGCCCCAGGCCCAGAGGCCAGAGGCCTGAGGGCGCCCCACCCCCGAGAAGGGGCCAAGCCGGGCCACAGGCGCCAGGCCCCGCCAATCGGCCACCAGGAGTGAGCCAGTACATACATGAGCTCCCAGCCCCAGACACCAAGAACCACCAATGCACCGACGTCTGAGGGCATCAGCCACCAGGGAGTGTGGTGAGGGGAGATAGGTCTCCATACCTTGGAGAGCCCAAGATGTTCCCAGAGAGGTGGAGTCTAAGACCCGACCTCACATATAGACACAGACGAACAGGCGCACACAGACACAAACATGTATTCCCACCCCTATATACACATAAGCAAATATTCAGCACTCACCCGATGTG